GAGAGAGAGAGAGAGAGAGAGAGAGAGAGAGAGAGAGAGAGAGAGAGAGAGAGAGAGCTGTTTATGAGTGCTTGCATGCTCTGCGTAGCCATCCAGAGAAACCGCGCTCCTATGTTTGGGTGTATTCGGTTGTGTATATGTGTGGAGGAGGAAGAGGAAGCACACACCTGAGGAGAGTGTTTGAGTACTTCATAATGGTCTTGTTGGTTGTACTTCATAATGGTCTTGTTGGTTGTCATTGCAGATGGGGCGAGATGCAGGATCCACAAAAGTTGAAGGACCTGCCTGTCCGCAAAGCAGTTTTGGAGGAGCTTCGGTCAATTCAGTCTCCCTTCACTGTTGCGCCTTGGAATGAAGGAAGAATCCTTGCACAAGGGAAGTCAGTGAAGCCGTGGCTTTTGTCCCTAGAAATTGAGCATGCCCTGCTGGCCAATCTCTCAGACACACGGTCGGTTGAGGCCTTCGTTGCGGAAAATGCATCGATGGTTGCACAGCTTGCAGTGACAAAGGCGCAGGGTAGAGATGGGAAATCAACTTCAAGCACAGGGGGAGAGGACAAGAGTAGTAGTAAATCCAAGGTGCGGAGAGGTCGGCGAAAGGCTGCAAGCAAGGCCTGATGCGCAATTGATGCGACTGTCCGTTGATATGGATGCAGCAGGTTTGTTGCTGCTTTGTCGTTGCAAAGTTTTCCATAGTCCTGGTTACTCGTCTCGAGTCCCCGTGTGGAAATGTTTCTCCGTTTCTTCTTTCTTGTTATCATCTCCACACGCCGTAGATCATCCTCGCTGGATGGCGCATTGTCGCAGCTTCCTCTGGGCTGCAGGCTCCGTTGTTGTTATCGCACACTTTCGCACCATTCCTTTCCCAGTCTGCACACCATCGAGCCACGGGTTAGGCCTTCCTCCCTCGTGTTGCAGATCTCCAGCCAATGTGGACCATGGTTCCCAAGGGCCTCACACATAGTTTTAGTTTTGCTGATTTGGTATGCCAAGTACATACTCACACTTTGACTTTCGGGATGTATCTGATAGTAACTATCGTCAGATTTCAATAGAAAAAAAAAGTCCATAGCGTGACGGTGCTCTTAAGTCTGAGCTTTCGACCCTCTTCGGCTATCGTTATCTTCGGTACTCGGCGCACCCCTCACTATGCTGCTTCCTCAACTGCGAAGTAGGACTAGTTTGCAGGGCACAGTTTTGACTATGCTCCCGGCGGTTTGGTGCACAACTGACTGCGCTGTGTTCTTAACTTCTTGTACTGGCCTCCCTCCCTTTGGTACGGTAAATCTCAAGCCCGGAGACGAGGGTGGGTCAAGGGAGGAAGTAGTTCGAAGGGCTTTGCGGCTTTGCCCCTGCATGCTGTAAGGAGGGAGGACAGTAAGGAGGGAGTTCTTGTACTGCAGCTTGTAGCAAAGGCAAGACAGTAATGACTCTCCTACTTACAACATGGCGGGCAAATACCTTTGCTGCCCCTGCATGTTGTAAGGCAAGACAGTAATGACTTCCTCCTGGCGGGCAAATACCTTTGCTGCCCCTGCATGTTGTAAGGCAAGACAGTGATGACTTCCTCCTGGCGGACAAATACCTTTGCTGCCCCTGCATGTTGTAAGGAGGAGAGTCATTACTGTCTTGCCTTGCTACGGTAGAGATCTAAAGCCGGCACGTGAGGGTGGTTAATGGGAGGAAGTCGGAGGAAAGGGATTTGCCCGGACATGTTGTGGCAGATGATCGTCATTAACCGAGCATGCTGGTCATGGCAGGTTATGATACATCGTCGAGTTTTGACGTGAAGCATCCAGATTTTGATGGTATAGATCATTGTTTTGTACAGCAGCACATTTCGTGGAACCAACTTTGGGGGTTGTGGTTCCGTTAGGATATCTGTTAGATTGAATTAGGTCCAGTGACTGCTACTATTTAGTATTTGGATTCGTCTAGACTCTAGACCCATCCCCTACCTACTCCGACTCCTCCCAGGTCGCATTCCTTTCGTTCCGTCTTTTGTTTCGTAACGAAGACCCAAACAACTTCACCGCTGTCGCTGTAACAGGCCTGATAGGCATAGGTGCCACACTGCCATTCCCATGCAAAAGAAGTCTCCAGATGCGGAACGCTTTGATGGACAAAAGAGAGTGTTCTTCTTCGCCTTCGTGTAAAGCTTACAGGAAGTGAATGCGTGCACGTCTTTTCTCCTCTGTCTGTTCTCTCTGGAGAGCCATGTGTGTTCGGTTTTCACATTCTTCCAGTTTCTTTTCAGAGTCTTCATATCCCCTTGTTTAACGTTTCTTCCCAGGCAAGTTTCCTCCAAGCATTGATCAAATTTTGTGCATGTTTTGAACTCTCTCTCTCTCTCTCTCTCTCTCTCTCTCTCTCTCTCTCTCTCTCTCTCTCTCTCTCTCTCTCTCTCTCACGAACGAACGAACGAACGAACGAACGACAAGCTCACATAGCAAGTAAAACACAAACGCATCTGAAAAGCTACATAAATGTCATAAAAAAATATATGTAACCTTCAAGTTGATCCTTGTGTGTTTGGATTTGGAGCGTAGTTTGCATGCGCGGACGAGTTTTGTTTTATTTAGTCAAAAAACTTTTGGCGAAACTTTCAAGGCAACTTTTGAAGAAGCAAGAAGCAAATCTGTTGTTTTTCGGAATGACCACAACTCGTGAGTTCTCAAGAGGCTCTGCTGTCAGAGTTCTTGAAACAACATGAATTACGTAGTATTAGTTTGTGTTCAGCAAAAAAAAAAAAAAAAAAAAAAGAAAGGTTTGCGTTCAGCACCTGCAATTGGGGCCCCAGCACTACCATACTTCCGAATACCGGGAAAATGCTAAAGAAAAGGTAAGGTCGCTTCTGGATTGGTTTTTCGGGTAGAGTGCTTGGGAAAGCATGTCGCAGAAGATCCAGAGTGGATCGTGCTACCGGGACAGGAGGGATTGTGTCGGGTTCACTTATCGGAAATGCCAGTTAACGGGAAAGGTCTTGGATTTCAATCTGATCTGATAAAACATAGGCCTTTTCACGAGTGCGCATTTTGCTATTTTCCAAAAATCACTGCAGGCTACTACGCTGGATCCTGATTGCTGAGTTCGGAGACCTTTTGGTTTTCACGACAGTGCATTTCGTCACTTCCTAAAAATCACTGTGGTCCCCACCGTGTCGGTCACCAGTATGTGGATATCCAAGAAGATACCCTATGGTAACCCGTAACACAAAATTTCGTTACCGAAATTCTCCTACAGATGAAGCCTGTGTGGGGAATTCAACGTGTGCCTTATGAACACGCGTGCCTAACAGATGAGTGCCTTACGTTTAAGTCCCTGCACAGGCTTCGTCTGTTAGGCAGGATTTGGATGCACTACCTTTTATATTAAACTCATCAGAGCAGATGCTACACTTGATCTTGTTAGCCGAAAGGCCGGGAAAGGTATCGATGCACGAGCAGCACGGGCTATTATAGACATAGTACTGCCTTTCTTTGTGTGTGCGTTGAGACAAATCACTCCACCGACTAAGAACGGCCATGCACCACCACCCACAGAATCAACGAAGAGCTATCCACACACACACACACACACACACACACACACACACACGCGCGCGCGCGCGCGAGGTTGGTGTGAGTTAAGTCGACCACTTTTCTCTCTCCTTAAAGGTGGGTATCGCTAACTCTGGGTGATGTGGTGAGTCCTTATCCATCAGTCAAATGCATCCTGGGCAGACTGTCTGTCCTGGTTCAACCTCGTGATGAGATGGTGAAAGTCCGACGAAACAGTCTGTTCGGTACAGTCGTGCTTTTTTTTAGTGTATAGCGAATATGACAACACACACACACACACACACACACAGGACTTGCTTGAAGATGCACAGAAATGCCAAATCCAAGGTCGGAGGTACTGCTACAGCATGATATAAAGCCTAAGCCTTGGGTGCGTATTCAAGTAAGGGAGAACACCCTGCCATCTTGAAAACACCTGCTCTTTGCATAGTAGCTGCATGCACCGGAGCTGATACTGGGTTAGGGTTAGGGGTGGCCTCCATACGGTCGCGTAGCCAAGTATGGAGTCTTATTTGTGCTGATTTTCCTACAGCTCCAATAAAGAGGAGAAGCAGGCCCTGTTGAGCTTGTAACAGGCGAGGCCGCCTCTTAGCAACTTTTGGACCATACAGCTTTGGCCTGCCCAGGCTCTGGGCGTGGTCCGTATGACGGTGCATATGACGGTGGCAGACCAGACCAGTCTAGTTCTGCACCAGGATAGATAGATTGTGACATGCGGAGGACAAACTTCTGAATCGGCGAAATACAGACCTGAGTTCGGATCCTGATGGACCTCGATGAATGGAATCAAATCATTCTGAATTATGTAGGACCAGTTAGATCGATGGAGATATCCCAAGGCCATTGCCCTTGTAAAAAGGAGAGATTCTGGAGAGGACAAGCTTCTGAATAGGTCCGAACAGGCAGCTACATGGAAATGGAAATGGACACATTGCAACATGCATCGCGATGAGAAAAAAAAAAAAAAAAAAAAAAAAAAAAACATGCATCACGACAGGCTATCTGTGACTGTATAACATAGATGGGCTACTACGGGGACCAGGGCGGACACCTACACAGACTTGCATTTTCACCCGAATAGAACGCTCCATCACTGTATGTAGACTGAAAGTTGCACCAAGTACGGCTATAATGATGGGGCGTTCAAGTCGAGTGAAGACAGTGGGATGGACTGCTGTTCTGCGACAGACTGCTACATTGACCAGAGTGGAACGCTCGGTCACTGTATGTAGACTGAAAGTTGCACCAAATACAGCTATAATGATGGGGCGTTCCAAGTCGAGTGAAGACTGCTGCATTGACCAGAGTGGACTGAGTCTCAGGGCTTTCAAGTTTGGACTCGGAAGTCCGGGCCTACATTTGTATGGGACTTCCAACTAGATCCCAGACCCCAGACTTCAACTTGGATACACAGTTTGGACCTATAAGTTGTGGAAGGTCAGAGGTTCTTTTTTTTTTTTTTTTTTTTTTTTTTTTTTTTGCAGATCAGAACCCCTCGGTTCTGGCTCCTGCCATTCTGGGGAGCAACAGTCCGGTTCCTATTCCCCCAGCAAGTCAAAAAGTAGTACAAGGTCAGAGGTTCAAATCCTGTAGGATGCTGAATTCTTTGGAAGAGTGGCCAAGTGGTGAAAGGCGACATGCAGAGACTCATTCGTGGAGCATACCATTTCAATTTCATCCACCTTGATTATTCCGACCAGCTTCGCACGGCTCCAGAAGACGCGGGCTGGAAGCAGTCAGTTCGTATTTGACATGCTGGAAGCATATCAGACTGTATTTCAACACCCGTTTCTGCCAGTGGACTGGAACAGAAGACCTGTCTAACTGGGTCTGATCTCAGGTCCAAAGTGACTGTCTGTATATGTCGTCAATGTGCATGCACGCAGAGGGCAAGGTACATCCACAAACGCAAAGTAAGATAAGGTCGCGTTTGATTATATAATCAAGCCAAGAAGGAAGAAAACTTGTGCTCCTTGTGGTCTCATTAAGCTAGAGAGCAATCAGTGAATTCAATCCCACCGGCCCTCGCATCAATTCAGTCAATTTAACTCTTATCTTTAATTCCCATTACCAGAATGAATGCATCTACCTTTCCCCACAACGCTTTTGTAACATTCTAACAAGTTAGTTTTCTTGCTCTTCAAAAGCCCAAAGAAAAGAGGTTAATGCTCCTGCATGCATGGCGCAGGCGGCTAATGCGCAGCGGCTCCAGCTAATGTGATTGTTGCACAGTCCCCTCCAATTAATTTTGCACCTTCGAACATAGCCATCTTTTTTCTATTCGTATCAAACGATTACCGTTTATCGTTTATTACCCGATCCGTCGTTTTTGTCAAAATAAACGGGGCAGAGGCTCGCCAGCACTTGCTTCGTGCCTCTCCCAATCTGATCATCAGAAGCGATGGTATTCTGTTAGTGCAGCACATTGTTGGGATGTCTTAGGAACACAAAATGAGGGTTGCACTCGTTATAGGACTTGAACCACTGCAGTACTTCCTAAAGTCGTGCCCGTTAACGCTACACGATTTTAGGAAACGTACGGGCCACTACAGGAGCGCCCAAATTCATCCAACTAGAAACGTTTCTACTCTATTCTTTCCCACAGCCGATAGTCGGGCCAAGTACTGCTGGTTTAACCCAACGTCTCATGTCAGGAGCTGACAACAGCCATGCAGCACATGTATGAAGTCAAAGTACATCCCACCCTTTCGAGGAGTTCCTTTTGTATGTTAAGGGTTGTGTTGTATCGAATTAAACCGCGCGAACGGCCATGCAGCACATGTTATGAAGTCAAAGTACATCCCACTCTTGTGAGGAGTTCCTTTCGCATGTCAAGGGCTGGAAGGTTTTTGTGGGTTGTATCGAATTTAACCACATGAACAGCCATGCAGCACATGTATGAAGTCAAAGTACATCCCAGTCTTACGAGGAGTACCTTTCGGACATTAAGGGCTGGTGAGGTTTTGTGTGTTGTATCGAATTGAGGTTTTGTGTGTTGTAATACAGTTGTGTCGATTAAACAAGATGGACAGCCATGCAGCACATGTATGAAGTTAGAGTACATCCCACTCTTATAAGGAGTACCTTTTTTGGATGTTAAGGGCTGGTGAGGTTTTGTGTGTTGTATCGAATTAAACCAGATGGACAGCCATGCAGCACATGTATGAAGTCCGAGTACATCCGACTCTTACGAGGTGTTCCTTTCGTATGTTAAGGCCTGGTGAGGTTTTGTGCGTTGTATCGAATTAAAACACGTGCTCCACCGCTTGTGCAGGCCTTGCAGTTCCCTCTCAATCAACGAACCTCTATCAGTAATGCTTTTAAGCCGCTGACAGTTTTCTTAAACTCGTGAAGTGCCACAGTCCAGCCGTGCTGTGGCAAAATTAGCACGACGGGTGGTCGCAATTTGGCTTGAAATGCAAGGTTTCAAAGGGGGGGGGCACACATTAAAAGGGGTGTACTCGACAAAGATTTTGTACACAGCAAAGAGAACGCCCGCTGTGGGATAGACTGGCAAGGGGCGTGCATGGACTCAATGTGGGGTGGACTGGCAGTGGCTGGAATAGGCACTCGAAAGTTTCAGGACTACTAGCTTCACCCGAATAGAGTGCCCACTCATTGTAGTTGTATTTGGGGCAACTTTCAGTCCACGTGCAGCAATAACGTGTGTTCTATCCGGGTGAATACGGGAGCTCTGGCAGAGCACGAGGAGATGAGTTTCGTTGGTCACGGTAGCAGAAATTCCGACTGAGTTCTCAGGCATGTAAGACTCCTTCAGATCTGGCCTCCCTTGGAACTCAGCTATCTTGTTGATGCCCGGATTGATGAACCTGTACAAAAAGCTCGTTGACTACGATCAAGTGTCTTCACTTGGCTGACTACAATCCGGTGCAAAACTGAATCTTTCCGTCTGGAAACGGAAGCGCTTTTCTATCTGGTAGGCTGAGCCACATCTCGGAACAAAGGGTCTCGCTCCACTGCTCTCGAGTTTTTCACTACTATCGACTTTGGAAAAAATCAAGAGTAGTTCAAAAGTTGCCAAATAGACCCTCGAAACTCTCAAAATTTGCTGCCTCGCTCCACTTACTCTCAAGCATAGGACTCTCTAACTTGGTGAGTACTGCAGGACATCACTGCCCGACGTATGGACGCCTTGTTTGTCCTCCATGACTCTTGAAAACCGAGGCAATTCGAAGATCATGGTGGAGCACACGCGAAATTCGAGAGTTTGCAGGGTGGCGAGTCTTATACCCTCGAGAGTTCAAATCGAGAGCAGGTCCTGTCAGCTTTTGACACAAATTTTGAGAGTCGGATTGGTGAGTAAGTGCAGCGAGGAGTCGAGGACAGACACAAAAAATTGTGAGTCAACATAGTGGAGCGAGACCCGAAGGGTTGGCAAAAATTTGGCAAAAACTGCTTTTTTTTTTCTTTTATCTTTTTTTTTTTTAAACTGCTTTTTACTTTGCTTTCTCGAGTAACTCGTGAAGTCGTACTTTTGAACGTTTTTTTTTCTTTCCTGTTCTTTGCATCACATAATGCCAAACAGAAAACTTGACAGTTGGGTCCTAGCAGGCCTCAGACCTTGGGCAAAAGATTTCATCAAGGTGGGAATGGCACAATCGAAAGATGAAGAGCAATGGTTAGCTGACAAGAGAATAAAGGTAGATATCCTCTGTAAAAAAAAAAACAGAGTGCTCTGACCGTCAGGAGTCAACGTATCACCTATAGTGGGAATGCCGAAGTCTCGTTAGTGGTGGGAACACCATAACAGACAGATCGGACAGGTCAGAGGTGGTGGGAACACACAGGAAGGTCTTACTGCAGTATTTGTCCATTATACCACCGGTCCCCCCCCCCACCCACCCCACGCTGTACTACCGGTACCCGTCGTGAAACGGCGCTACCGGTACCCCTGAGGTTTTCTGACGTCAGGAGGACCGGTGGTTTAAGCAAGGATTGGGTATGTGGGACCTGGAAAACCTTGTCGTCATGTGGTCTTCCGGTTCAAACCACCAGTACTTGGCCCAGCTATCGGCCGCGGAAAAAAATAGAGTAGAAACGTTTCTAGTTGGATGAATTTGGGCGCTCCTGTAGTGGCCCGTACGTTTCCTAACGCTACGCGACTTTAGGAAGTACTGGTGGTTTAAGAGGATTAGCAAGAAGTTCCAGGAGGAGGGACTTATGGAGCCGTAGGAAGAAAACGCAGTCAAGGAAATCCTTTGCACCTGCATGAAAGCAGACTGGATATCATGATAGAAAGTGCTACAAGGTAACATAGGGGGGGGGGGGGGGGGGGGGGGGGGGGTTGCTGAGACTGGATGTCTCGCGGGAAAGCTGGCAGAAATGTATCATCCAGAGGGCAACCTGAAGCTGGCTAGGTAAATCTCTCCGGAGAGAAACCTTAAGCTGGCCAGGTTGTTAGAAGCTAATCCGTCGTCCCCCAAACAGAATGTATCATCACAACCGTTGTCTGTAGACTGAAAGGTGCCTCGGATAGAGCTATAATGGTCGTACATTCTATTAAAGAGAAGATGGGTAGGTCGAAGATTGTGAATTGAAGTAGAGAGGAGATTGGAAGACCAGGGCACTCAGGCACTTGGATGACAGGGTAGGAGAGTGCCTAGGAGGAACCCGGTCACTCGGTTTCGGCCACCTGCACTAAATCTCCTGATTGATACTGGACCAAAGGGCCAGTGTTCCCATATTGGGGTTCGTTGTCATCCTTGACCATTTTCGGGCCAATTTCGGGAACTTTCGTTCCATTAGCTCAAGGTATTGCTTGGCCTTGGCCTTCATAGTTTCCCGTCCCCGGGGCTCGGGAAAATCTGAATCATCCTGCACTATGACACACACGATGCTATTGGTTCGTAATTGGAACGGAGTTAGTCTTGTCGACTCGTGTGACGTAAATCAATACGATGCAATATACAATTTCACCTGCTGCGATATTCTACGTAATTGTTGTTTTGATCATTCGGTTTGCGTATTCGATCAACCCGTTAGATTGGGTCATTCGTGGCGATATACGATGCAATATGACATCCCCCCGAGCCATATTTTGTTATACCTATCCTCGGATTTCCAACCCGTTATTAGTCAATATTTCCTTCGTATTCAGGTACATTACTCCCCACCAATAGATGGAGCCTCCCCGACGCTGCTAGTCGTGTTTGTTCCTGTCAGCACCCCTAGAAGACGATCGGGTTGTTTTGAAAAAAAAAAAGAAAAAAAAAGGAATCTATCGCGATTTACGACTATCTCTGATGATTTCCAAGTTCTACACCAGTAAACCTCTATGCACTTGCGAAATTGACCGATAAGGACCAAAAATTATTATATTCACATTTACTAGGACCTTGAGGCACGACGATGTCCATCGTGTCTATACTAACACGCTAGAAAAGAGTCAAAGGATGAATAACTTTTGTAGGAATAATCGTATTAGGGGTCTGGATCCGGGTCCAATCAAATGTGCATACAAAACAATTCCTCCAATTTTAACGGATGTTCCGAAGGACCTCCTGCAGGAGGCCGTCTCTTGCGTGGTTTGGAAAGTCCGACCATCGCCTTCCCCCGAACACAACGCACCCTCCTTTCGACTGTATCGGGCCGGAAACACATCTTGTATATGTTCATTTTCAAGAAGCATTATGTTAAGGGGAAGCTGGCAGTCCGTGTTGCAAGTGGGTTTTACACCTGCTCCTTCCGCCCGTCGATTCCCGTGAATCCACGGCCGATTTGATTCCGCCGATTTGATTCCGCCCAGGCTCAGGTCTGCGCGCTACCTACCATAGTGAACACAGGTAGGGGGCGGAACGGACCGGGGGAATGACCCGGGGGGCCAGGTCCCACTAGGAGCGTTGAGTTTCCTCAACGCCCGAATCTGGACGTGATTGTCGAGATCTGTGGTTGAGAAAACTCAACGCGATTTCTGCACATATCGACATACACGTCCAGATTCAGGCGTTGAGGAAACTCAACGCTGCGCGTGGGACCTGGCCCCGGGGGGTGTGGCGGGCGGAAACTCGTACGGGCGGGCCGTTGGGACTGTATATAGATACTTGGCCGTCCTCAGTCATTTTCAGATCAACTGTTGGGCGGGGAGGAGGAGGAAGGAGGAATAGAAGGCATAGACCCTTCTCTCCTATTGGACTAGGCAGTATGACAGTTGGGTGACCGCCGTACTTAAGGCTGACATTGGCAGTGATACAGTGGAATCAGAGAATCGAGAGAATTACGACTTACCTGGCGAAGCTACTAGATCGGCGGTTTTTGTTGTCGCGTCGTCTGCATCAGAATGCTCCTGAGGACCAGGTTCTTCATCCCCGGCGCCTGGATAGCCCGGTGGCTGAATTTTGGGGTCCTCTACACCCCTGGGCTTTTTTAATTCTACCAGGCTCATTGGGGCTTGCACTACCGCAGCAGTCCATTCAGACTGAACCCCATATAGGGGTGGCCTGCATTGGGCCAAATCAGGCAAGGAAGGACCACGGTAAAAATTTACGCCCAGTGGGGGCTTGTCCAAAAAAATGACCGAGGACTTGCTATTTCTAGCAAAGTTTCATCGGTCGGACCTGCTCTTTTGTCCTTGGCTTGCTCCTCGACTGCGACTGGGGCGCCGCTCCGTTCTCCGTACCTGCAACGTTTTGCAGTCAGCATCAGTTAGTCACTTCACCGCCTGGTAACTTCGTTCACCAGCTCGAAAAGGTAAGATTCTCTAATCGAGGCATTTTTCACCTCCATAGCTTTCCTGTTCCAGATGGTTTCCGCACCATCGGTAGCGAACTCAGTAGCTCGTTGTAGCATGGCGGCGGTCGTCAAGAGGCTCAGACTTCCGATTGTCGAGGATCCCAAACCAATCCTCATCCACAATAAATTTGCGAAATTCTTGGCGTTGGACACAAAGGAGGCATCACTTGCCGACCCTGGAACGACCAACCTTCTTAGTTTGGTCAACTGGGAGGCAGTCAAATACTATGCAGCATTTGGAGGATACAATACCTCCTTACTTCTAGATAAGATGGTGCTGCACCTGCAGCAGCGGCAGGCCATAGGCAAGGTCAAGAGAGTTGGAGATGAGGATAGCACATTTTTTTGGCTGATAGATGTTGATGTCTGGGCCTCAGTCTTAGGCAATTGGTTTTGGGCCATGACCTTCACTCATTTTTCCACGGACACTTCATCGGGCAGGAACCTAGATCAATTGCATGGTGAAAATCTGCGCAATACAAGGCCTTACAGAGAGAGGAGTTGGTCCGACTTTTACTACAACTGCCTCCACCCTTCTCAAGACTGCAGAAGCAAGGATACAGATCAATGGATTCCGCTCACCACTCATGCACATCACTCGGTCCGTAGGGCAAGGCTGCCCGCTGTTGCCAGCCCTGTACATTCTATATGTGGAACATTTACATGATATGATTAGAGATAATCCTGTCATCAAAGGCCTCCCTATGCCAGACGGACAACAACTTAAATCGGGAGCATTCGCGGACGACACAGCCGCAGTAACAGAGACCACACAATCGAGTGTGGATGCCATAAAGCATGAGGTTGTGGTCTTCGAACAGTTCGCAGGAGCCAGAATCAATTGGAGCAAATCCATCGCACTGACACCCCCCGGGGCGGATACGTCACCACTTCGGGGCATGATGGTGCAAGAGGAGAATCGACAAACCAAGTACCTATGTATCCTCCTGCCGGGGGCACTCACCACGGGAGAACAGATGGAAGAGTTACTACATGAAGCAGTGAGAAAGATGACGGACTGGTCAAAGGGTGCTTCGTTGGGGATAATGGGAAGGATCCTTGTTGCAAATAATGCAGTCTCCTCAACACTATGGTATGTGAGGGCGGTGTCATCACCAAGCAAGAAGCCGTGGAAAGATTATAAGATAGCACTGCGTCGCTTCATATGGAGGAATGATCCGCAGGCACATCACCTCATATATCGAGTGCGATGGGAAAAACTGACACAACCACGTAGCAAAGGTGGGTTGGGTCTTCTCACCGCTCTCCACATGAGGACAATACTGTGGCTGTTGTTGGAAGATGACAAAGAACCATGGAAAATGCTTACTATTCAGCTTATGGCAGAAGCCATCCGAGTTCACCCCGCAGATGTGGATATCGCTCTCCTTCACCCTAAACCTTTGAGGGGTCTCAAGAAAGATGCCCTCTGGACGGCCACATTGGAGAAATGGAGAGAACAACCACTGCAGCAGGCCGCCCCGCGTTCCTGCGACCATATCTTGCAGCAGACACTATTCGGGAATAGACTCATCATCTCAACACAAGGTGATCCATTTCCATGGCAGGACTGCCTGGGATCATTCGGAAGACAGTGGTTGACCTGCGGGATATACCGAGTAGTCGACCTTTGGGATCTGAACACAGGCACATGGAAGCTGGAAGTAGACATCTTAAATCAACTAAGACATCAGCCTGCTAAGGAGGAGAGACTGCACCAAATCAAGACTGCTATTCCGCAAGAATGGGTGGATCTGTTGCATCAAGGATGCAGACTGAAAAATGAGTGGGTGGTCAAAAAAGAGGAAGGAACTCCGACGATCTTCTTCACTGTACAATACGCGCTTGGCAACGAATGGTACTATGGAAAAGCCTGGGAAACGGTGTTAACCACCAACCCTATAGGCCAGCCACTTGTGAGATGCTCCCTAAGGGATGGTATGCTTCATAAAGACACAGTGAGATCGGTGAGTGTGCTTAAAGACTACACATTCTCATCCACTCAAATCTTTCGACCATACAGACCATGGCAAACCCCACTACAACTTTCGTGGGACCCGTCTGTTTGGGAATGGGGCAAGGCTAACTCGCTCAGTAAACCTCAACGCATCCACCAAGTCACCACGAAGATTATGTATCGTGCAATGAACCCTCCCACAGATATGGCGGATGAGATGAGGTTACGATGGCTGAAAAGACAGTGGGTGAAGGAGGAAGATGTGACTCAATGGACGCAATCCACATGGGAGCTGGCGTGCCAATTGCTGACCATGTTACCGGACCAGAAACAGGCTGGGGAGCTCTGGCTATCCCTACAACTCGCACAACCGACATATCAATGGATGACAGAGAGAAGCTCTTACGAAGACAGCCACTGCAGACACTGCCATCAACAGTCGGAGACGCTGCCTCATATCTGGCTGGATTGCGCCCCCCAAAGCCGATTTTGGGAATGGTGGCAAAGCCTGGGACCTACAGTCCCCCTCGCCACACCGACCATAGCACAAGAACTACGACCTGCCATATTGTTGGGGCAACTGTTGGCAGGCCAGGCAACCACTGTACAAACAACATATGCTGCAGCTACAGTGAGGGCGGCTTTGTGGGCGGCAGCATGGGCAATGAGGATACGGGAACTGCGCACTGGCAAGACAGGCTCATTCCACACACGCCGAGCCTGGATGATCAGGAATCTAAAGGTCTCACTGATGACGGATGTCGCCCGCAGAAAGAATGGAGGTTGGCGCTTTCTGCAAAATGCTTGGGCCGCATACGGAGGGGTGGTGGAAATAGGCACCGAAGTAGGGGAGTGGCGCTGGAAAATGCAGTTGGAGGAAGAGGCCATGCAAACCGACCCGGATGATGATGTATGTCCTCCTGCAATGGACAATCAGTCGACAGAGTTATCGGAGGACGACAGTCGACAACACACACAGAAAGACCTGTTCAGGGACCGGCCAGACATTGAGACGGCACTGCATCCGAGACACCTGCAGGACGAGGTTCAACCCACGAACTGCCAACAACAGAGTAATGAAAGTGACCAAGGCAACATTGACGAAGTCATTGCAAGACTCCCGGAAGACGTGCTGGACAGCCTGGGGACACCGGAGTACGATTTCTCGGAAGATGTCACAGACAGCTACTGTTGACTGTGCTAATGACATAATATAGGATACTGCCATGACCTCAAAATAGTGTAGAATGTATGATAGGAGATTTCACAGACAACTACTGATGACTGATGTACGATGACAGGATGTGATGACAACAGGGGGAGTTTGCTGTATAATCCACTAGGAGGTGTGGGGATACAGATTGGACCTTTTTTGGACTAATACAACATAGAATGTATGATAGGAGATTTCACAGATAACCTCTGTCGAATGTATGATAGGAGATTTCATAAATAACCTTTGTCAACTAATGTAGGATGAGAATGGTAGAATGTGACTAAAGAGAATAGATACTACGGAAAAGGGGGAGTTTGCTGTGTGAATCACTAGGAGGTACGGGGACATGGACTGGATCTCTAAGACCATAATTTGACATGTCTGATAGGGGAAATGGGTGTAGGGGGTGTTTGCTGTGTAAACTACTAGGAGGTACGGGGATATGGAGTGGATTTCTTAGGATTAAATTTGGAAATGACTGAGAGGGGGAATTGGGGGCAAGACCTATTAGGTGGGTTGGGTCTCTTACACAGGGAGTCTGTATCACAAACACGAAAACATATACTGCACATATGCAAATGGGAACTACAGAGCTGAGAAAAAATACACAGAAACGAAGGCCACTATTTCCCGGGGGGAGCGAGGAGCAGAGAGGGAAACCTAGCACCGCGCAGTGTTTCGTGGTTGGAAACAACGACTTGGTGCATTGAGGCCTCCCGGCTGGTTCCGCCCACAAAACGCCGCACGATGAGTTTGTCCCCCCCCCGCCCTGTCACATGCAGTCGAGGTGTTTGCCTTGCCTGAAACCCCCGCCGCCCACCTCCCTTGTCTACCTCACCTTCCCTGTTCTGAACTTTGTCTATCTTTGCTTGCTGGTGATAAGCAACCGGACTGCTGCCCCCCAGAATAGATGGGGCTTGAGTGTGTTGTGTTTAAAAAAAAAAAAAAAAATCTGCGCAATGCTTTAGACAAGGACAATCACTATTTCACTACCCTGAAACCACTCAGGCAGGCTACTTTCTTTACTCTTGGGTTTGCCTTGACATAACTCCCCTGCCCTCCGAACATGCCTTTAGACAAGAAAATCATGGAGATGAATGACATCGAACAATTCTGGTTTTTCCTTGCAAACTCAGATTTCCCTGCCTCTTTCCACCCCTCACTGATTCACCTCCTCTTGGAAATCCTGGCAGGACTGACTGACCACTGCTTAGAAGCAGCACGATTACGCATCTGGTTCAACGAGGGACCGACTCAGTGGATGTCAACGATCATAGAAGATTCTGTTTTTGTCCTCCCAGCGAATCCTGAGACCGATGAGTCGGATGATGGTAACCAGTAAGGAGGAAATGAGTTTTGAATAATAATTTGGAGCCTCAATTGTCCTGCGGATTGACGTGTATAGGGATTGCTCTAGACTAACTTGATCTCACTAAGGACAATTATGTTGCTGAGCATTTGAAGTGAAATTTATCTCGCTGTTGACAATTTGGCTATGCTATCTAGGCAAGCTTGTATGATCGATTTTTGAATGTCATTCAATGTTCCAACCTTATTTGTGGTTTTAGCTACTTAAATCCTCAACCACCAGAGAAACCAGCATCGTTTCCATCAAATCCTGTTGCTTTCCAACTCATTCTCATATAAGAAGGTTTTGAGGGATATGATCATCTCTTACCGAAAAAAAANAAAAAAAAAAAAAAAAAAAAAAAAAAAAAAAAAAAAAAAAAAAAAAAAAAAAAAAAAAAAAAAAAAGGGAGAAGGATGAAGAAGGAGAGAAGGAGGAGAGGAAGGGAAAAAGAGGAAAGTAAGAACCAGAAGAAATCGCAAGGCTGAGTAATAAGCCAACTTACAAAAGATGTTTTATATAAAAAAATAAAAATAAAAAGGAAAAGAGGGAAAGGAAGTAGGGAGCCTAGAACTTTAGATCTTGGAATCTTTGAAGCATAATGGGGTCTGCAGACTTTAGGAATTGGGTAGCAAGGTAGGTTAGTAATGATAAAGCATATTTTTGTCAACTCATTTATTGCATTTTCCGGTTGACTCTTTTGACTCCAACAGGAGAATATGGAACAATTAATCTTTGACACCCTCATGGCTCATGGCCCAAAGGCTATTTTTGGATGGCGCATCTTCATGCCATTGATGAACCCCTCCCCATGGATAGTTGAGGGCAGAATCAGTGAATGCCTCAATCCTTTGGAAAGGAACCCCCAAAGATCCTGTTACTTAGTCAGGCATAAGGACAAACTCTTTCCGGCTCATCCTCACATCATGAGGACTTCGGACCCCTTTTTCGTCCAGAATTCAGTTTCAGTGGCTCAACCTGCGCCGTCCGCACCTGCTGCCAATGTTGGGACTTCCGTGCGTACTTTTCCAGGATCTGCAGTCTCTAACCTAATCAGGAACCTTTTATCTAAGGAAGAAGCTGATGAGAGAGAGTTTAGATTTATAATCAATCAAGCTGAACTCTCTCCTGTAAGGGAGATATTCTCATCAACTATCAGGGAGGTTGGGAAGTGTAAGGTTGTCGAGAATGAGATAAAAGCACTGCAGTTCATCTTCGATCAGCCCCCTTGGCCAAGGCACCTTGATATCCTGATCAGAGTCAGGCAGATTGAGCTGAATTTCAAACACGGCGATAGGGGCAAGACGCACGCTGCAGCTTTTAAGAACGCATTGACCAACCTTGCCAAAAAGCTCTGCGACAAAAGGTTTCCGCTAGAAGTCAAGCAATTGCTTAAGATCCATGAGTTAGAGACATCTAGGCTGGGTCTGGATGAAATCAACCAGGAATGGGATGACCAAGATGTCAAGGCAGCCTCGTCACGAGGAGGGTGAGTACCTAGCGGTTTACGCTGACCCCTGTCAATTAAAATAGCAGTCTCGCTTTAATGAACTACTGAATTTTATTACCAGGCCTTTAGGGGAAGTTATCAACTCCCCACACCTCTTAGTGGTGGCCTGTCATCTGTACTTGGCCGACAAGACCGAAAAATCAGGTACGTTTTAACTGTTGTTTCTCTGCAGGTACTCACCGGGTCAGGATTCGGCCAAGTTTAAATACAAGAGCCCCTCCAAGAAATCCCATCACAGGAGAAGTGACAGTGACTCCTCAGGCAGCAGGAATGAATGGAACCGCAAGGGAAAATCACACAAGCAGTCCAAGCATTGAAGAGGGCACCCTCACCGCATCAGCTTTCATTGGCCCTTGCAGCGCTAGAAAGCAAGGATAATTGGTTAAGGAACCCTGAGGATTTTTCTGTTGCATCCCTGGGAAACCACTTGGATTCTTGGAAATCCCTTTTGACCTCCTCCACTTTTAAATCCTCTAGAGATGTGCTGAACTGGTTAGAAAACGGTGTGAAACTTAAATTCGCAGGCACCAATCATAACCATCCCTCAAAAATCCAGGAGGTTAGAAGAATGGTCAAGCCAGTTCTCAAGGCTTCTGACTTTAGGAGGGCAATCAGATTAGGAGAACCAACCCCGATTTCCCTACCCAACTATGATCTACCCCCCCTTCATGAGGATTTTGTAAACAACAGTGTTCTTTCCATGCTAAGTCAGGGAGTCATTTCTGTGTCTGACACCCCCGCAGTCATAAATCCTGTTTTTGTCATTGAGAGCTCTAGCAAGCTCAGGCTCATTATTGACTTGAGATATGTCAACTTTTTCATCGTTTTTCCGGACTTCCATTATGAAACCATCGATGATGCTGTGTCCGTTATGGATGGTTCAATTGTGAAGGATTTTTCAGTAACCTTTGATGTGAAAAATGACTATTACCACGTACCGATTCACCCGAAATCCCGCCCCTTTCTAGTCTTTTCTTGGAAAGGGAAGACATATCAATTCAATACTCTGTGTTTCATAATTTTTTCCGCCTGTTGGATATTCACGACAGTTATGCAGGAGGTTATGGCGGTGATCAGATCTAAAGGTGTCAACATATTTTCCTATATTGATGACAGTCTGACCACTCACAAGAATTTTCCCTCATGTTTGTGGAATTCATTCTTGATTACTTTAATTTTCCATAAACTTGGTTTCTTTCTCTGCTTGAACAAATGCAAAGTCATCCCTTCTCAGTCCAATCGTGTCTTAGGTTTTATTATTGATTTTCATTACAAGAGGATTAAAGTACCTCAGGACAAGGAAGAGAGGATCTTAAAACTCTTGGAAATCTCATCAGATAGATCTCATCTAACTGCGAGAGGGATTGCTTCGCTGGCAAGAAAACTGGTCTAGCTATCAAAAGTCTTCCTCCCTGCCTCGCTTCACTGCTCGCACCTGCATGCGGCGCTATCCGATTGCGATTGGAATGCCAAGGTGAAACTCTCTGAGCAATTCAAGGAGGATTTAAAGTGGTGGCTGCAACACCTTCCTAGAATTCCAGGAAGGTTGTGGACGGTTAGGTCAGCAATTGTAACCATGCAGACGGACGCCTCGGACTCAGCCGTAGGAGCCTTGATTTATTTTCAGACCAGGGACCCATAGAGGTTGAGCTTTCCCCTTCCGACTGACCTGCTGGAAACATTCAGCACCCACAGAGAACTATTTGCAGTGACCGCCACCTTGTCCTTATTGGTTGAAAGAGTCCAAGAAGAATTTCACTCTCAGGCAGTTAAGGTAGTTGGATACAACCAGGCAATCTCTTTTCTCCTAAAGAAGCTAAGCTCAAGTGACGAGTTTTTCAACTCCTTATGCAGAAAAATTGCTTCTTTTCTTTTAACTCTAGACTGCCAACTTCAGTCAATCTAGATTCCTAGGGAGTTGAACACTGCTGCTGACGAACTCCCCAAGAATGTCGATCACTCTGACTGGGGGCTTAACAGAAGCGTCGTAGGAATGTTAATCTCCAAATTCGGAGAACCGACAATAATTTTTTTTGCATCGGAGGAAAACTTCGTATGCATTCCCTTTTTATCAGAATTCATATCCCCGAACTGCCTGGCAGGAGATGCTCTATCCTTGGACTGGAACTCCTTGCCGTCCTTCCCTTACATATGGACCTTTCCTCCTACTTGCCTGCTGCACCAGGTTCTGGCAAAGATGAAGTTTTTCGGCGGCAATTATCTCCTCATCACGCCCAGCTCTTCCAGAACTAGCTGGTTCCCAATGTTGAACTCTTTATCGACAACTTTTGTTCTCAATCTAGAGAAGGAATTTTCAACATGCTTCTCTACCTCCAGAATCTCCAGGCAGACTTTCAATCCAGGAAAGACTGGACTAAAAGTCAGAAGAATCTCTATCTATGAATCTTGGTTGCAACCGTACCCATATCGCATAAAGGAAGAGAAGTGCTTCCAAGTGCCTTGACCCAACATTTTTTCTAGACTCTATCCAGTCTGAATTCCAGCTCTAACACCACTCACTCGAAAACTTTGACTACCCTCACCAGCATACATGCCTAGAGCCTTCAGCCTCTCCTTCAGTCGCTTATTGAAACCACTTAAGCTCAGCATACCTTTAGTCCGTGTGCTGCGGAACAGCGACCGCCCATCGCGCAGATCGATTGGGGGAATCAAGTGACTATAGCACTCTCGCATCTCCTCGACCAACTCCAAGAACGAGGTCCCGAAACCCCGGGGCTCTTGAAGCCTTATCACTCCACTCCTTCCCTTCCTTAGAGTCTTGGTATAACCAGGCTGCACTCGCACTGCTCCCTCATCCACATCTTTGCCGCACAATCGCAGACCCTCTCCTCCTTGCTGCCAACTTTCCCACAAGTAGGTCATTATGCAGAGATCACGTAGCAGTTCAGCATGTCTATAACCGCTTTTCCTCTTCAGGCTGTCACGAATACTATCATGTGGCTTTTGCATTTTCTCAGCCGTCAGTGTTGGTGCTTGATTTTCCCTTACCCCCAGCTTGAGTGCGTAATTTCGGTATGCCCTACGATAATCTGTCACTTTGCTGTTGTTGCATGGATTCTTAAGCCCCTCTTGCTCCAATATGAGAAAGCATCGGTTCAAGCAACTCAGACTAGACTCAACCGAGCTACAGGAGGGGAATGGCTGCCCATCCCGATCAAAGGTCTGAGTGCGTAATTTTAACTCAGGAATCCACTGACCCGGAAAAAAGGCAATCACATCGAAATCCACGCAATTGTTGATATCTCTTCCTACCCTGTTTCTAGACAACCACTCGCTTAACGATTGCATCATCCGTCTTCTTTCTCGCTCTCCGTTTTTAGGTAAACCATGCTGAGCAATTAACTCTATGGAATCAATCAGCCCCTCAACATAGGTGCCTTCAATTCCGCTTGACTTTTGTGCTTCGTCTACTTCTTGATTCCCATTGAGCAACCTACTCAGCCACCATTTCCTGCACACGGATCGAATTTCATCAGATCAGGTGAATGTAGGTGGGGAACTTGGTATGGGTTAGGAGGTGCATGGGGGTACCCCCGGACTTCTCCATTTTCTGTGAGGATATTTCAGTGTGCTCATCAATTTCATTGGTCAGTTTTTCTGAACTCAAAATCAACCTGCCTGTCAGAATGTCTGTCTGTAATGAGTTTGTCATTTGGGTTGGAAATATCCTTTCCCCTTGCAGTAATGATGCTTTACCCCTGTAATATGACCCCTCAGTTTTTACCCCGTAGAATTCTGACTAAAAACAGGCCGCTTGGAACACACATGGAAGGCATAGACCCTTCTCTCCTATTGGACTATGCAGTATGACAGTTGGGTGACCGCCGTACTTAAGGCTGACATTGGCAGTGATACAGTGGAATCGGAGAATCGAGAGAATTACGACTTACCCTGGCGAAGCTACTAGATCGGCGGTTTTTGTTGTCGCGCCATCTGCATCAGAATGCTCCTGAGGACCAGATTCTTCATCCTCGGCGCTTGGATAGCCTGGTAGCTGAATTTTGGGGTCCGCGACACCCCTGGGCTCTTTTAATTCTACCAGGCTCATTGGGGCCTGCACCGCAGCAGTCCATTCAGATTGAACCCCGTATAGGGGTGGCCAGCATTGGGCCAAATCGGGCAAGGAAGGACCACGGTGAAAATTTACGCCCAATGGGGGCTTGTCCAAAAATGACTGAGGACTTGCTATTTCTAGCAAAGTTTCATCAGTAGGACCTGCTCTTTTGTCCTTGGCTTGCTCCTCGACGGCGACTGCGGTGCCGCTCCGTTCTCCATACCTGGAACTCGTCACTAGATTATCTTCATCAACGGTTCGCGACTCACCGAGCGAAAATCCTGGCCCGCCCGCCCGCCCGTGCCCGCGGTGCATGGGGGTACCCCACGACTTCTCCATTTTCTGTGAGGATATTTCAGTGTGCTCATCAATTTCATTGGTCAGTTTTTCTGAACTCAAAATCAACCTGCCTGTCAGAATGCCTGTCTGTAATGAGTTTGGGCGTCGTTCGACACTCCTCAAGGACGTGATTCCGAGGATTCCGTCGTCGTTCTACCTGTCCTCGGAGCCAATTTTCGGAAAAGAAATGTGAAAACACTCCGAGGACAAATCCTCGGGCTCCGAGGATTTCCCAGCCAAATCGTTCGAGGATCCGCGATTATCGGGGTGTCGACGGCGAGTCCAGAAGGGAAAATGGTGGTCGAAGGTGGTCCAGTGGCGGTCCACTGGCCAGAAGACGAACATCGTGAGCCGCCGACGTCCGAAACGTCCACCAACGGCCTCGTCTTTTTACCGTTGGCGGGGATTGGCGGTACGGCCCTATCGGTTCGTCGGGCGGCCCCACGGCGGTGCCGTGGCGAGCATCGGACGTTTTCGGGCGGCTCCTGGAGGGATCATGGCGTTCCCGCGGGCTACCCAACGGTCGGATTTTTCAAGCGTCCACCCACAGTCGGTGCTTGTAGCAATTCCGTACGTTGGCGTCTCCTCTCGCGCAACGTGTGTCTCCGGTCGCCGCAATCGCGACACCACAAGTGCGTTTTCTGTCCTTCATGGTTGACCTGTGCCGCAGGCTTCCTTTGCTGCTGCTTGTCGTTGTGGTCTTTCATATCTGCGTCCTCGGTCGCGTCCCTGGGAGGAAACAGACGCGGCGAACACCGAAGACGGCCAGGAAGATGGAAAAGCTACAGACGAAAACCACGCTGTCCGTAGGGGCTGGAGGGTCGTCACGTCAGCGTTGCAGCACTGCGGAAGGCGGCAGGCGGCCGTACGACCCAACGCTGTACAGCCACCTGCCGTCCCACGAGATTTCGTTGCCTCCGAGTGACGACGACGATGACGACCCTCGATCATCAACGGTTCCTCTGGGCAGCGGTTCGACGCAGGATTGGATGGGGAGCCAGTTGTACAGACAGGCCTCTACGTCGACGTACATTGGTCTGCTGGAGGGGCGGACCCCGGTTGGTTATGACGCAAGGCTTGTAGATCTCAGCTTCGGTTTGAGGTCTAGGAGTGGCCAGGACGTCACGCACACCGTTCTCGTGAACCCGGCTTCTGGCACGAGCCACACAACGTCTTCGGTGGGGCCGTCGGGCCTTTCGGACACCCGCGCCCGGAGTTCTGGTCAGTCGGACGACGAACGTGGACTCCTTTCACGAGGGCGGGGGGCAGTGGGCACAGCAGGTGTGGGCGCGGCGACGACGAGGACAAGTGGATCGACGACGCCAGCCGGCACAATCGACCGACGACGGGATGACGATGAGGGCTCCGCTGCGGAGGTCGTGGGGCGAAAGCTTTGGGATGGGCGACAATCGCGTCAATCGAGCACGTCCGGCATAACGAGAGGGGTGGTGAAGATTAATGTAGGGGCGAACGATATAGTCGGCGATTGCGATGGTGCAGCGGGTGAAGATTGCTCCACAGGCGACGGGAGCAATGACAACGACGAGGACGACAACGGGGAGATGAAGATTCGTCCGGTAGGGAAGAAACGGGGAGGGCCAAGGACCACAAACAAGTTAACTGAGCCGCGCGTGGGGCGGAGAGGCAAGAAGAGTGCGGGAGATGCGTCGGCAGGCGAGGGGGCAAAAAGCAGGGATTTTTGGACCGTGGAACACATGATTGCTCTGATCCGAGCTAAAAGAGACCAGGATTTACATCTGGCAGGCCTCGGCCACAACATCGGGAGGATGAAGACGAAGACATGGAAGTGGGCTGACGTCGAGAAGAGGCTCGTGCAGATGGGGGTGACGAGTAGAAAGGCCGAGGACTGCGAGAAAAAATGCGACAACCTGTACATGCAGTTCAAAATCGTGCACAAGTTCATGGGAGAATCGGGGAAGCCTGATTTCTTCACTCTATCGCTGACGAACACTGGCTGCGGGGGGCGGTGAATCCCCAGGTCCACTCGGCGCCTCACCCCGTTCGCGTCGACCTCCCACAACAAATTCTCGTCGAACTCGATACCTGCATCAAGCAGGATGTTGTGGAGAATGCAGACTGCCGTGAACTGCTGCGGCAGACTATCGAGGTTCGTCTTGTGCGTCCGCAGGAAGAGCCTCCACATCCCCTTCAACCTCCCAAACGCCCTCTCCACGGCCCCTCTTGCGATCTTCTGCTTTGTGTCGAACCTTTTCTCGTTCGGGTGTTGATTGATTCTTCCATATGGCACGACTACCCATTCAGAAGGAGGATACCCGTTGTCGCCCAAGATGTATCCGTTCGACCTCACCCCTCCCGGCAGCGTGACAAGTGGCCCACGAAACAGCAATCCCTCTTCCGCGCGCCTCGACAAACTTGACAGCTGGATCACCCTAATGTCGTGGCAGCTCCCCGGATATCCAACGAACACGTCAAGCACGCGCAGATCCAGGTTCACCACCACCTGCGCAATGGTGGAGAAATGGTGCTTGCGGTCAAAGTAGTTCTCGCTTGGCACGTTCGCCGGTTTGTCCACGTAGATGTGTGTGCAGTCAACTGCGCCATGGCAGTTTGGAAAGCCCTTGTCCAGAAACGCCCGTAGCACGACGTGTTTCCGCACCCCCGTCGGCCACGATATCTTGTCCCCGTACACCCTCAACATAGCGGCTGTCACGTCGCGCACGGCTCGAACTCCGGAAGTCCTGCCCATGCCGAAGGATGATGTGCTGTTCTCGTAAGACTCTCCTGTAGCCCACCTATACAGCGCGTACGTGATGATCTGGTCCGGCTGGAGTGGCTCCCTGTAAAACATCACCTGCCGCTGCGCATGAGGCGCACAGGCTTCGCTGATCTCCATGAACACTCTCCTTGACATGCGGAGCTTTTCCCGGAAGTAGTCGTCTGTCGCGTCATCGCACACCCGCAAATCCTCCCAAGTCCCGCCAGCTCTCCGCCTCATCCACCAACGTGGCGTCGCTCGAGGAAGCAAACCGCACCCGATTGCAGCGCACAACTGTACCACGGCCTCAGAAGTGGTGATGCAGTCCGGGGCGTCCAACACCCTCTACAGCAGAAGCTTCTGCCGCCGCCTCGAAAGCGCTGTGAGGAAACCCGGGGAGGAGCTACCTACCGTTCGCTGAAGCCATGGACTACGACGCCTGTCACTTCGCCGCGCCCGCTTCCGAGGTCCTCAGCGACCAGCAGGGTTGTCCCTTTCAGCAAGGTCACTCTTGGTCCTTAACCACAGGCCATTTTAAGATCTTTTCCTTTGCGAAAATTTCACAGTAATCTCGGTCAGAATTGATCCCTCCGTGTCACGCAGGAATGTTCAATCCTCTTACCGTTCTCTTCGGATCAACTCACCTCCGCGCAATCAGAAGAGCGGCAAAGCCGCCAAAGAGGGAACGTTAGCTTTCATTTGGCAGAGAGCAAGGAGCCAATCAGGGCTCTTTTCAATGACTTCTCGAAAACGACATTTCTCGAAAATGATTTGCTGTCCAGTCCACAAGGCTCGGAGCGGCGAGCCAATCAAGGTTTTTTTCAATAATTTCTCGAAAATGATATTTCCCGAAAATAATTAGTTGTCCAGTTCACAAGACTCCGAGCGGCGAGCCAATCAAGGCTCTTTTCAATAATTTCTCAAAAATGATGTTTCCGGAAAATGATCTGTTGGCCAATTCCCATGGCTCAGAGCAGTGAGCCAATC